ATGAAGCAAAACAAAACATTTGCTTTAGATGTCTATCTGCTTGGTTCATATTAAACAAAATGTTTCTGCTAATTTACACCACGTAGAAAGAGAACAGTACTGGCTGTGACTGGTCTGCACTGGAGTCCATCATATCTGATGGGGGAGACTGATCAAAAGTCATTCACCCTGTTTGCTGTTAAAATCATTGGTTTTGCATAGTTGATTTTGACAGCGCCAGGATGCATAATTGTATATCCTTGTATCAAATAGGCAAAATTAAACCCAGGTTACCTTATTCTTAAACACCCCCCACCCCGCAAAAAAACCCCCAACCAGGCAGAATTTTTGAAATGCTCTTTGAATTACTGAGTCCAAACTTCACCCCTCTGGGTTGCTGTCATAGAACACCAGAAATTTAAACGCAGCGTTGACTCCTTTGAACACACACACACAGACACCCAGACACACCCAACAAGGGCCTTAACATTTTATTCACTGTGATACATGTTTGAAATGCTGATGTGATCCTCTGGGAGAGGGAAATGGTGGACATTTGCAAAGGCTGCATCTTGTAAGATGGAACAATAAGTTGTAAAGGACCAGAAGCTTGAAATCTGTTGGAAGATGGGGAAAGAGAGGTACCCATCAGGGCAGTCAAAGATGTTTTGTTGGAGGTGGCCAATAGAGTGATGCAGACAGAGCGGAGAAGGGAACACACAGAATTAACCTCTGCAAAATTTCTAACTTTGAAACTGTCAGTGGCAGGGTAGAAAAGCAGCAAGTTTTGGCGTTTCTTACAGGGTTTCAGGGGGATTTGCTCTCCAAGTTCTCTGCAAATAATCTGGGATTTGATGGTCACTACAATTAGTAAGAAATGTGTTAGCAACTCTGGGAGAGTGATGTGAACAGATGCTTTGAGAAATTTGGGGGGAGCAGGACAATTCTCCTTGTTAATAGACTTCCCTTGGGCCAAGGGAGAAATGGCTGAAATTAAAAGTCAGGCCATTCCCATGGAGTAAGAGGAATGAAACCAGAAAATGTTCCAGGACAAGATGGTGGGGTGGGGTGGGGTGGAGGACCCTTTTAACATAAAAAGATTGATGACCAGCTGGTTCTTCACGGTGACCTAGAAGGATGTTGCATTTAGGCAGTCTGGGGGAAAGAAAAGGACACAAGCTGATATTGCAAATGTTCAGCTCAGAAGGGTTGGGTTACCAAGCGTAGGTCAAGAGATCCACAACCTGGAAAATCTCCATATTAATCCTCCCCTCCAAAGAAACAGCCTACAGTGCTTTTCCTTCCTCCTCTACAGATACTCAAGGTTAGGACAGAAAAAAAAAAGGAAAGTTGATTAGGTGGTGGGTTAGGGAAGCTCCTAGGCTATATTTTTGGGTCCTCCACAAGTATATTGTCCAGGGTTCCCTAAATCCTGGTCAGCATGAGCGACTGATGAAGAAATATTCTTGCTCATTCAGCCCCAACTAGAGGCCAAAATCAAAATGAATGTAAAAGCATTTTGCAAGCTCATCAGCCTGTTTCACAGAAGCACAGAGCCACAACATGCATTATTTAATTTTGGTTCAGCTTCTGGTATTAACCCACACCCATTTGGATTTATGATTAGGTAGACCCCGGCTTTTTCTTATTTGCACATCTGGGTCTTTTGGCTGCCTCAAGGCTTTGTTGTTCTCCAGGCACCAGAGGGTCCGAATGAGTTCTTCTGAAGTGGCCCAGTTTGATTCAGGATCTGAGATTTGTCCAAATCTGATCCACATGGCTAATAAACAGCATTGATCATATTGTTTCTGTTTATATTCTCCCCATTTAATTATTTATACAGCCCCCCCCCCCCGTTTTTCTATTCTACTCTTTCCTAATGTCTGCACTTGATAGTGGTCTTTGCGATGAGAGTGAAATAAAATAGTTCATTATTATTTTTTTAAACAAAGACTTCTGAATGCCCAGCATACCACACTGAAAGCTAAAGAAAGTAAAGAAAGCAGCACAAATCTCAAAGAATTCATGTGTACAATAAAAAGATATTGATAACCAAGAAACTGAGCGGGATTAGGGTAGGTAAATTTCGAAGAACAGGAAGTTCCACTGTACTAGCCATGGAAGAGCTAACAGGAGAAACCAAGGAGATATTCAGATCCATTATAAATCATTTGGGGAAACTGTCCTTAAATCAGCTGTGCTTTATCTTTTTGAAATCTTCTGTTAAAACACCCACCCACACCCACACCCACAACCAAACCGAAACCCAACTATAACATTTCTAGGAGACCACTGCCTGTGAAAAGAAAAAAACAATACGGTGTGCTACACAAATAAATTCTTTACTGGCGCATTAAAATCTGCTGATAGATAAAAGCAAGATTCTGAAATTTGAAATGTTGATTCCTCGACTGTTTTTGGACAGAGCATCTTTTGATCTTTGTCCTCATGGCAGTTTTATCCCTTTCTTGTTTTAACTTCTTTTGAAGCTCTTGAATATTTTCTTTCCCCATCACCGTTCATTTAAGCACAGTCAAGGAGCAAGGCCCTCCATTGTGTGATGTATGTGCGGGGAGTGTAATTCTGGGTGAACTGTAAAAACATGAGTGTGGTTCTGCAGATATGATCAACCCAGCAAACCAGGGAGAAGAAAGGAAGATAAGGCTTGCTATGAGTTGTTCAGAAATATTTAGAGGACCACAGGGTCAGTTCTGACACAAGAATTCACAGCATTCTTATTGGACCATGGATATGGTCTGAGATAAAATTATTTGACCCAAGTACTCCCCTCCAGAGCAAGTACTGTATAACACTCTGTGTATGTGAACTCTTTCCAATCTAGTTGGTTTTGTTGAGGGGGAGAGCAATCACTTCCTGAAGCTTACAGGAGAAATTTGCAGTGCACAGCACTAACTGCATTATACTTGTGCTATCAAGAACCAAGCCATCAGATACCTTGAATATTTTTAATGGCATTTTTTAAGATAATCATAACACAGTCAGGATTTCAAAACTAGTAAGCGTCTGACACTTACACGGGAGGGGATCTAACTGAATCAATATTTTTAATGAGCTTTATACACGAAGATGTGAGGAAGCTGATGTTACCCAGAATCCTGCATGACACAGATGCACACAAAAAATATTGTGTGATACTCCCACAAGTTGCACTGATGGCTATTGAAACTTTTTTTCTAACCATACCATTTTTCATAATCTGTGTGTGTTATTAGGGCTATTTCTTCATTACAAAATGTGTCCTTCTTTCAGAGAGAGAGAGAGAGAGAGAGAGAGAGAGAGAGACTGAAAATCTGAGCCCTGGAGGGTCCACGATGACAAATCTGAGCCCTGGAGGGTCCATGATGACAATTGCTTCTTTTCCTCACTAGATAAATTGTCTTTCCTGGCTCACAACCGTTAATCTCATGCTGACACTACAATTTCTGTGGTTTCCAGTTCTTGACACCTCAATTAGAGATTAACTGTAGCTCCTGGCACCTAGGGAATCTGTCTGTCTGTCTGTCTGTCTGTCTGTCTGTCTGTCTATCT